CTTTTTTTTTTTTTTTTTTTTTTTTTTTGAGATGGAGTTTCGCTTTTATAGCTTAAGCTGGAGGCTCACTGCAACCTTTGTTTCCAGTTTTCAAGCAATTCTCCTGCCTCAGCCTCTCGGGCAGCTGGAACTACAGGTGTGCACCACAATACTTCGCTAATTTTTTGTATGTTCAGTAGAGGTGGGGTTTCACCATGTTGGCCAGGCTGGTCTCAAACTCCTGACCTCAGGTGATCTGCCTGCCTTGGCCTCCCAAAGTGCTGGGATGACAGGGCCATCCTCCCACCTCAGCCCCCCTAGTAGTTGGGACTACAGGTGCAGAACAAAGCACAGCATCTGGCTCCCAAATTCTTAGTACATAGTAGGGCCAGTGGATACCTGGGTAAATGGATTTCATCAGTGTTAATCCCCTACTGAAGCTATATTAAGTGTTGTTCTCTTGTAGGACTGCCTTTTTTTTTTTTTTTTTTTTTTTTTTGACACAGGGTCCTGCTCTGTCGTCTAGGCTGGAGTGCTTTATATGCAGTCTCCACTCAGCTTCTCTCTGCCAGGCTCAAGTGATCCTCCCACATTAGCCTCCCCTGAGTAGCTGGGACCACAGGCTTGTACCACCTTGCCTGGCTAGTTTTTGTATTTTTGTAGAGACAGTTTCAGAGACAGGGTGGTCTCGAACTCCTGAGCTCAAAGTGTTGGGATTACAGGAGTGAGCCACCACACACAGTCAGGATTAACTGCTTTTTTTTTTTTTTTTTTTTTTGAGACAGTCTTGCTCTGTTGCCCAGGCTGGAGTGCAGTGGCGTGATCTCGGCTCACTGCAAACTCTGCCTCCTGGGTTGACACCATTCTTCTGCCTCAGCCTCCCGAATAGCTGCGACTACAGGCACGTGCCACCACGCCCGGCTAATTTTTTGTATCTTTAGTAGAAAGATGGGGTTTCACTCTGTTAGTCAGGATGGTCTCAATCTCCTGACCTCGTGATCTGCCCACTTCGGCCTCCCAAAGTGCTGGGATTACAGGCGTGAACCACCATGCACTAGCTAACTGCTTTTTTTTTTTTTTTTTTTTTTTTGAGACGGAGTCTTGCTCCGCCGCCCAGGCTGGAGTGCAGTGGCCGGATCTCAGCTCACTGCAAGCTCCGCCTCCCGGGTTTACGCCATTCTCCTGCCTCAGCCTCCTGAGTAGCTGGGACTACAGGCGCCCGCCGCCTCGCCCGGCTAGTTTTTTGTATTTTTTAGTAGAGACGGGGTTTCACCATGTTAGCCAAGATGGTCTCGATCTCCTGACCTCGTGATCCGCCCGTCTCGGCCTCCCAAAGTGCTGGGATTACAGGCTTGAGCCACCGCGCCCGGCCTGGCTAACTGCTTTTAACTATACAAATAATAAAATACTCTTGGATGGAGTCTTAAGGTGGAACTGCCTGTGCTCTTAATAGTGTCTGAAATTTATATGGTACTTACTAGGCTTGTCACAGGATCTCTATGGCTCTTCAAATAGCAGGGGCTGGGTGTGATGGCTCACACCTGTAATCCCAACACTTTGGGAGGCCAAGGTGGGAGAATTGCTAGAGGCTAGAAGTTCAAGACAAGCCTCGAAAACATAGTGATACCCCCATCTCTACAGAAAATTTAAAAATTGGCTGTGTGTGGTGGCAACTGCCTGTAGTCCCAGCTGCTCAGGAGGCTGAAGTGGGAGGATCACTTGAGCCTGGGAGGTAGAAGCTACAGTGAGCTGTGGTTGTGCCGCTGCACTCCAGCCAGGATGACAGCAAGACCCTGTCTCAAAAAAAAGAGAAAGAAATAGAAGCAGGGATGTACTTGAAGGGTATGTGTATGTTCATGTGGTTATATTGAATACTTGGTGCTGGTCGGTAATTTTGAATGCTTCACATGCATTATGCCATTCTCATACACCTAACAGATGCAGGGTTCATCCCTAAGGCTGATGAGCTCATTATGAGTGAGGAGTCTAGAACCAAACTCCCTGAGTTCAAGTCTAACCTCTTCTTTGGCTCCTCATTTGTAAAATGGAAATAATAACAGCATCTACCTTACAGGGTTGCTGTGACTATTAAATAATCTAATATCTCCAAACACTGTAAACTATGCCTAGCATAGATAATAAGTATGATCTCTTTATTATTACTCCTGTTCTTACTATTCTTGCTAGCTATTTATTTTTTATTTTATTTTATTTTGTTTTTTTGAGACAGAGTGTCACTCTGTCGCCCAGGCTGGAGTGCAGTGGTGTGATCTCAGCTCACTGCAAGCTCTGCCTCCCGGGTTCATGCCATTCTCCTGCCTCAGCCTCCTGAGTAGCTGGGATTACAGGCACCCACCACCACACCTGGCTAATTTTTTGCATTTTTAGTAGAGACGGGGTTTCACCGTGTTAGCCAGGATGATCTTGATCTCCTGACCTCGTGATCTGCCTGCCTCGGCCTCCCAGAGTGCTGGGATTACAGGTCTGAGCCACTGTGCCCGGCCTCTTATTTATTTATGTTTTGAGACAGAGTCTTGTTCTGTTGTCCAGGCTGGAATGTAATGATGCAGTCATAGCTCCCTGCAGCTTCTAACTCCTGGGCTCAAGTAATGCTTCTGCCTCAGCCTCTTGAGTATCTGGGACCCCAGGTGTGTGCCACCATGCCCAGCTAATTTTTTGTCTTTTTAGTAGAGACAGGGTTTTGATATGTTGGACAGGCAGGTCTCCAAGTGATCTGCCTGCCTTGGCCTCCCAAAGTGCTGGGATTACAGTTCTGAGCCACCACTCCTGGTAGATTTATTATTTTTAACTTGGCAAGTCTGTAAGCCCTTTTTTGTTCCTTTTTTTCCAAGGGGCCAGAGGTAGAGGCCTTTGTCATTTTCTGTGTGTCCAGGGAAGTGTGCAGGATGTATAAGCCATAGATTAGGAGTGGGAGGAAGAGTGTGTGGTGGTTGTGACAAGGGTCCAAAGGAAGGCAGCTTCCGAACTTACTTGAGATTATAAAAATAAATTTAAACCAGGTATCTCTGTGTAATCGAAAGGTTTCTGTAAAACAGAGATGAAGTGTATGTGTGTGTATATACTTGTCATTTGAAAAGACATTCAGAATAGTAACTTTTGGGACAGTACAGACTACAAAAATTACAGCATGATAGAACCTTCTTAACTACTAAGAATATAGAAAGGAAAATAAGGCCTGGCATGGTGGCTCACACCTGTAATCCCAGCACTTTGGGAGGCTGAGGCAGGTGGATCACCTGAGGCCAGGAGTTTGAGACCAGCCTGGCCAATATGACAAAATCCTGTTTCAACTAAAAACACAAAATTTATCTGGGTATGGTGTTGCACATCTGTAATCTCAGCTAGTCGGAAGGCCGAGTCAGAAGAATCACTTGAACACCGGAGGCAGGGGTTGCAGTGAACTGAGATTGCGCCACTGCACTCCACCCGGGTGACAGAGCAAGATTCTGTCTCAAAAAAAAAAAAAAAAGTCTGGGCTCGGTGGCTCACACCTGTAATCCCAGCACTTTGGGAGGCCGAGGCAGGTGGATCACGAGGTCAGGAGATCAAGGCCATCCTGGCTAACAAGGTGAAATTCCGTCTCTACTAAAAAATAGAAAAAATTAGCGGGGCATGGTGGCATGTGCCTGTAGTCCCAGCTACTCAGGAGGCTGAGGCAGGAGAATTGCTTGAACTTGGGAGGCAGAGGTTGCGGTGAACTGAGATACCACCACTGCACTCCAGACTGGGCAACAGAGCAAGACTCCGTCTCCAAAAAAAAAAAAGTAGGGGCCAGGTGTGGTGGCTTATGCCTGTAATCCCCAGCACTTTGGGAGGCTGAGGTGCGTGGATCACCCAATGTCAGGAGTTCAAGACCAACTTGGCCAACATGGTGAAAACCCTTCTCTACTAAAAATACAAAAAAAAATTACCCGGGCATGGTGGTGGGTGCCTGTAACCCCAGCTACTCGGGAGGCTGAGGCAGGAGAATCACTTGAACCAGGGAGGCAGAGATTGCAGTGAGCTGAGATCACGCTATTGCACTCCAGCCTGGGCAACAAGAGCGAAACTTGTCTCAAAAAAAAAAAAAAAAAAAGGAAAATAACTTATTGTAGAGGAAAGTGGTTTATTAAGAAGTTTGACAGGCACTGGCTTAGAGTAAGATTTTTCTCTTATAGTAATTTTCTTTCTCTCTTAAGGTATCCAAGCCCACCAATGGGCTCTGTCTCAGCACCCAACCTGCCTACAGCAGAAGATAACCTGGAATATGTACGGACTCTGTATGATTTTCCTGGAAATGATGCCGAAGACCTGCCGTTTAAAAAGGGTGAGATCCTAGTGATAATAGAGAAGCCTGAAGAACAGTGGTGGAGTGCCCGGAACAAGGATGGCCGGGTTGGGATGATTCCTGTCCCTTATGTTGAAAAGCTTGTGAGATCCTCACCACACGGAAAGCATGGAAATAGGAATTCCAACAGTTATGGGATCCCAGAACCTGCTCATGCATACGCTCAACCTCAGACCACAACTCCTCTACCTGCAGTTTCCGGTTCTCCTGGGGCAGCAGTCACCCCTTTGCCATCCACACAGAATGGACCTGTCTTTGCGAAAGCAATCCAGAAAAGAGTACCCTGTGCTTATGACAAGACTGCCTTGGCATTAGAGGTAAAATCTGTTCAGACTAGCTTTTTGGGTCCTTTGACTTTTAGTTTTAGTTTCTGCTCATTTAAGCTTGTATTCATGGAATTAGAGCACTAGATGATTTTGGAAGATACGCACTGTTAGCATTTCATGTTTAAATTTTTTTACAGAGACAAGGTCTCTGTTAAAAAGAGTTGTTTGCCCAGGCTGATCTCGACATCCTGGCCTCAAGCAAATCCTCCTACCTCAACCTCCCATAGTACTGGGGTGACAGATACGAGCCACCGTACCCGGCCTGTTATTAGTGTTTCACAGCTTGTTTTGTTCTTTCCTATTCCTTGTTTGTCCCACATTCTCAGCCTCCTTGCTCTTTTTTGTTCCCAAAGCCTAACAGATTTAGTTTTGCAGTCATTGGTTTTTCTTCCAGTAAGGAAAGATAATAATTAAGGAAGACCCATGACCTACAGGCAAAATCAGCATACAGATATATAGCTACTTGTATGGTTCTGTATTTCTAACATTGGAATCAGTTGAGAAATACGAAAATGTCTTAAAATTTCTCTTGAACTTGGTAGAGGAATTAATTTTTTTTGAGACAGAGTCTTGCTCTGTCACCCAGGCTGGAGTGCAGTGGCGCGATCTCTGCTCACTGCAAGCTCCGCCTCCCGGGTTCACGCCATCTCCTACCTCAGTCTCCCGAGTAGCTGGGACTACAGGCACCTGTCATCATGCCCAGCTAATTTTTTGTATTTTTAGTAGAGACGGAGTTTCACTGTATTAGCCAGGATGGTCTCGATCTCCTGACCTCGTGATCCACCTGTCTCGGCCTCCCAAAGTGCTGAGATTACAGGCGTGAGCCACCGTGCCCGACCCAGGAATGATTTTTTTGAGATGGAGTCTCGCTTTGTCACCCAGGCTCCAGCACAGTGGCATGATCTTGGCTCATTGCAACCTCCACCTCCCGGGTTCAAATGATTATCCTGCCTCAGCCTCCCGAGTAGCTGGGATTACAGGTGCCTGCCAGCATGCCCATCGAATTTTTGTATTTTTAGTAGAGATGGGGTTTCAACATGTTGGCCAGGCTGGTCTTGAACTCCTGACCTCAGGCGATCTGCCTGCCTCGGCCTCCCAAAGTGCTGGGATTACAGACATATATGACCACACCCAGCCATAGAGGAATGATTTTAAAATACATCAGCCCTTGCTTGTTACAGGTTTTGTAAATTAGAATAGCATGAAATAGAACTTGAACATTTTAATTACCAAGTCATTTTCTTTTCTTTTTCTTTTTCTTTTTTTTTTTTTTTTTTTTTTTTTTGAGACAGAGTCTTGCTCTGTTGCCTTGTTGCCTAAGCTGGAGTGCAGTGGCGTGATCTTGGCTCACTGCAACCTCTGCCTCCTGAGTTCAAGAGATTTTCCTGCCTCAGCCTCCCGAGTAGCTGGGACTACAGGCACGCACCACTATGCCCAGCTAATTTTTGTATTTTTAGTAGAGATGGGGGTTTCACAATGTTGGCCAGGCTGGTCTCGAATTCCTGACCTCAGGTGATCCGCCCGCCTCAGCCTGCCCGAGTGCTGGGATGACAGACGTGAGCCTCCGCACTCAGCCATGTCATTTTCTTCTAACTAAACATTACAAAAGACTCTTTCTCAGCTGGGCACAGTGGCTCATGCCTGTAATCCCAGCACATTGGGAGAGCGAAGCTGGTGGATAACTTGAGGTCTGGAGTTTGAGACCAGCCTGGCCAACATGATGAAACCCTATCTCTACCAAAAAATACAAAAATTAGCCAGACGTGGTGGGCACACGCCTGTAGCCTCAGCTACTCAGGAGACTCAGGTGGAACAATTGCTTGAACTGGGGAATTAGAGGTTGCAGTGAGCCGAGATCATGCCACTGCATTTAAGCCTGGGCAATAGGGTGAGACCCTATCTCAAAAAAAGGGGGGAGAATGTTAAGAGAGACCCCAAGTGCAGTTCAGAAGGATGAAGTAGGGGACCCTGTTGCTTCAAATAAAACAAATCCTGACTCACCAAACAACCTGCCCACAGATAAAAGTTGTCTAGAATTGGTTTGTCCATAGGTCGTCCTCAGTGTTTTTTTGTTTTTGTTTTTTGTTTTGTTTTGTTTTGTTTTGAGATGGAGTTTCACTCTTGTTGCCCAGGCTGGAGTGCAATGGCACGATCTTGGCTCACCGCAACCTCCGCCTCCTGGATTCAAGCGATTCTCCTGCCTTAGCCTCCAGAGTAGCTGGGATTACAGGCATGCGCCACCATGCCCAGCTAATTTTTTGTATTTTTAGTCGAGACGGGTTTCTCCATGTTGGTCAGGCTGGTCTCGAACTCCTGACATCAGGTGATCTGCCCGCCTCGGCCTCCCAAAGTGCTGGGATTACAGGTGTGAGCCACCATACCTGGCCCTCAATTTTTCTTTGGACCAGTAGTAGTATCTGAATGAACTGCACCTGAAGGTTTGTTTCAATGTTTGATTTTTGTCTCCCTTTCATGTTGGCTATAAGGAAAGAAGGAGCATCTGAGGCTGTGGTGGGGGTCTGGGACTGAGAGTCTCCAGGTCTGAGGAGGCTGCCTCCACAGATAGGAGTGCTGGCTGAGCAGGCCTTCCAGCTTTCTTTCCTTCTTTCTTTTTTTTTTTGAGATGGAGTCTCATTTGTTGCCTAAGCTGGAGTACACTTGGTATAATCTCGGCTCACTGCAACCTCTGTCTCCTGGGCTCAAGCGATTCTTCTGCCTCAGCTTCTCAAGTAGCTGGGATTACAGGTGCCCGCTACCAAACCCGGCTGTTTTTAGCAGAGATGGGGTTTCACTATGTTCGCCAGGCTGGTCTTGAACTCCTGGCCTCTGATCCTCTACCCGCCTCAGCCTCCCAAAGTGCTCGGATTACAGGCGTGAGCCACTGCGCCTGGTCAGGCCTTTCAGCTTTCTCACCCCCACACAGACCGGCCTAGGCACAGGTGCATGCCTCTGGCCTGGTCTACACCTCAGCACCTTAGAATAACATGGGATGCTCTGGGCTGTTAATATGTTGTAGCATGCATTGTGTTTTCAGCCTTTTGAGGCGTTTTCACATCCGTCATAGCATAGGATTGGGGAGCTAGGAGTCAGAGCGGGTATGACTCGTGTGTATTTGGCAGCTGCTCGTTGAGAACCTTGAAGGTGGAGGCTCCCAATCAGAATTTTAGGTACCTGCCTGTTGACCTCTGGCTCTAGGATTGTATGTTTTAGAAACCTGTATCTAGTGTGCGTGCGTGTGTGCTCATTGGAGCGAGTACTAGGAGGTTGTAGGGAGGAACATTAGGTATTACAGAAGGGATCATTTAGAGCTTGGTGTGTGGGTGGATAGGTAGGTGCCCGAGACAGGTCAGGTGTAGGAGGAAGGAAGCCTAGTTAATGATTGTGTATTTTAAGATAACCTACATACTTTGCCATTACATAGCTCCTAGTCTCTCTGGCCCCAGAGAGAGGTTCTCCACACCTGAGCCTCATGACACTAACCCAGCCCGCTGAGCTTCAGCAAATGGTTTTTTTCGTGCTTGAATGAGAGAAAGTGTAAATAGGACCTGAGAAATAGACCTTTACCAAATTCCATTTAATGGTATTTCGCTTTCTGTATATTTAAATGAAACTTTAGGTTATAGCATAAGTTAAAAAAAATTTTTTTTCCCCGAGATCGAGTCTCTGTCACTCAGGCTGGAGTGCAGTGGTGTGATCTCGCTGCAGCCTCCGCCTCATGGGTTTAAGCAATTCTCATGCCTCAGCCTCCTGAGTAGCTGGGGTAAATATTTTTTTGATTGTTACCTTCTAAAACTATTATTAGGATAGTGGTGCCTGTCTGATCTTGTTAAAAACAACTCTTGGGACTTTTGCAATTAGGTTACTAGGAAAAGTATTAAAATTAAAATGAGAAACAGACAACTAGGACAAAATGTGCCAATAATTGAAGCTTCATTATTCCCCTAGATAGTATTACAGAGAACAATGATGGCTTAGGTGACTTTATACCTTAAATTATTTTACAAGTTTTTTTTTTTTTTTAAATAAAACTTGATTTTCAAAAGAGTATTCCTGTAAGTAAAGAGGTATTTCAAAACCAGTCTGTGTTTAGCTATTTTCTTTTCTTGCTGACTTTTCTGTAAGAGAGAGTTGATCCTGAGATTTGATTTGAAGGGGAATACTTGGTATCTGTAAGGTGAGTAGAGCTTGTGTGATGAGACTAATGTCACTGAATAGCTGTAGATAGGTGAGCATGCTGGGCAAAGGGCAAAAGTGGCAAAAGACAGCCAGGGCAGTAGGCTGTTGCCATATCACGAAGGGCTAAGCTGAGGAGATTAACAGTTTTCTTGCATTGCCTTCATTTGAGTCATGAAACAACCAGTTTCTCACAACTGACAAGGTCAGGTTTGCAGGCAATTTCTTTTTATTTATTAATTTTAAAATTTAGAGCAAATGCTTGACTCTCATGTAATAATATCATTCTCATTCATTTGCATTCCAGTATGCTTTTCTGACTAAAAAGAAAGGGAAGAAATATCTTAGCAACTTTAAAATTGTACTTAACCCTGGGTACACACACCCCTGAATATTTGTATGAAAATTTGTATTCAAATGTCTAAATGCAGCCTCAGCTGTGCTTTTCCCCCATGGTATGGTATAAGAAAACAGTTGGTGACACAAGCTGGGGATCTGTGGGAACTGAAGTCAGTGGTACAGATCGTGTGGAGGAAAAATAGTTTCCCAGACTTGCAAGTGAGACTTAAAGTGATTTGGGATGGAATTGATAGAAATCAAGCAGAAAGGTTGTATTGATACCTTAGGTCATTTAGTCTAATCATTTTCCCAGTGCTTTTAGCCCTCTTCAGAGTCTAACTCCATGGCCCTCCAGTCTCAATTTGGACACCTTCAAAAAAACATCACTTCAACAAAAGTTCATTGAGTGCCTATTATGTGACAGGCTGGGAACTTGGGATACAGTAGTGAACAAAACAAAGATGTCTTTCCTGTGGAACGTGTGGAACATAACATTTTATGTGGTGCTGTGTCTCATGTTGTATGGCTCTGGTAGCTGACAAGTCTTGTGTTCTGGCTCTCCACCAGGGAGAAAGAAGCCACAGCCAGAAGCCACAGCCAGTCCCCTTCCTGTGTTTGGCTAGCCCAGTGTGTGGACTTAAGTGCATGGCCCCATAGTTGTCCCTCTTGAGTTTTGTTGTTGTTGTTGGTTTGGTTTTTATTGATCTTGTCATACCATCTGTGTACATCTCTGAATCCTTTTCTTTTCTTTTGAGATAAAGTCTTACTGTGTCGCCCAGGCTGGTGTGCAATGGTATGATCTCGGCTCACTGCACCCTCCACCTCACAGGTTCAAGCAATTCTCCTGTCTCAGCCTCTCGAGTAGCTGTGATTACAGGCGTCTGCCAACCACGCCTGGCTAATTTTTGTATTTTTAGTAGAGAAGGGGTTTCACCATGTTGACCAGGCTGGTCTCAAACTCCTAACCTCAGGCAATCCGCCTGCCTCAGCCTCCCAAAGTTCTGGGATTATAGGCATAAGCCAC